TAACGGCTCGGAGCATACAGAGAACTGTGCAGAAGTATGCGGTGCCGCTGGCCCCATTCATATGGGCCCATTTGGCTGGGAGCATGCATGGCAGTTGATTGAAGCTTGGTGTCGCACAGTTGGAACTGATTAAAGGTGAAACCTGGGCACCGTAACAACGTATGTCCTACCACAGGCTTTTCTTTGATCGGCATCGGCAGTGTAGAAGTTTACTCAAGTCTCCCATCCAAACAGTTGAAGACGGGTGGACACGCTTCTTGTTTAAGTGTCAGCAACTGCAGCTGCTTGGTTCCAAGCTCCCGTTGCATGCAGATCAAAATCTTGTCAAAGTCTCCCAATTTAACATGTTTAGGGCCTAGGGATTTGGACAGACGTGGCCAGAAGGCTTGACACAAGGCTTTCTTTGGGAAGATGGGAGCAATGGGATTGCAAGTTGCAGCTATCGCTTTGCAGATGCTTCTCGTGGAGGCCAATGTCATAGTTCACTTGGCTTGCTACCCACCTTTGACTTGCCGACATGCCAAAGCCAAGCTTGTTGTCGCTTGAAATGCTGCAGCCATACGCTTTACACAAGTACTAGCAGAGAACGAACACGGGCTTCTGATGGAAAACAATAATGCAATGCTATTGGAAGGAGGATTGTATTTATGTCTTGACGTTTTCTGGCCGTCCAAACAGGTTTTGTTTAACCAACACATGATACATGCCATGACGATGCCGCACATTCGGACCGTTGTGCTGGTTACTCCGTGGATCTGGAGTTGACCTCTACTCACCACCAACTCAGGCAAAAAAAAGAACACACTTCTTCAGGGAGCTTGTACCCACCAACTGCTGTTGTCTTGGGAGACCACCGAATACAACAAAAAGAAACCTGCAAAGGCTTGTGGACCCCTCCCATTCGCAGCCATGGCCCGACAGCTGATTTGTTGCTTAGTGCTGATGCTTTTAACTCCTGGAGTGATCGGTGCTGTGACGCTGGGCGCTTTTGGGGCTGATGACTTGGTGAAGCAGCTCCGGTCGTCCATCTTCGTCGAGACAGCGTTCTTAGAAGACCCGTGGCAAAGCCTGGTGCATTTCTGGTTTCTTTGTGCTCCACACGAAAGAGAGAGGGGGAGAGAAGTTGTTAGCCAATGCTAGCAACACTTGACACCAGGAGGAATGTTGTCAAGATGAAGATATATGACCCACGATACTGTTCCTTGATTGGTCATGTATCTGCATGCTGCACAACGCCTTATTTTTGATGTTCAAGATTGCCGCGACAATACCTGCAACTGTTCCCCTATGTCATTTTGGGTTCAAATAACTGGGCACGCACGGCGCTCTGTCGCGAAGCTAAGGAGCGCCCACCGGTGACGCGGTGTTCCTCCTTGGATGGTCCCAGTTGCCTTCACTTAATGTTGGATTCTCAGGTGTCCCTAGACGGTCCAGGTGTTATTCCAGACACTCGACGCCAAGTGGAACTCTTGGAGATCTCGGAGGATATAAAGAACTGGTGCGGACACCCTCCATCCTCACTGGTGGAGGAAACTAGTCCCCCCAAACAGGCCTCATGATTGTTGGAGAGAGGGTGACAGCCTCTTTTCGGGGTCTGTGTTTATGTGCATGTGAGTGCATGCTGGTGTTTGAAAGGAAAAGCTGTGTTTGTGAGCGATGGTGGGCTCGGAACGGGGTGCCTTTTCTCCATACCACGTGTCACCTTCTTGCACACGATGTGATTTATCATGCTCAGAGCATCTCGCTGAGGAGAGACTCCTTCACGACTTGGGAGCTGCAGAGGGAATGGACTTTGTGACCCCAGAGTGCCTGGGGTTGAGGAATTATAAAGCTGAGAAATGCTTTCCTCGGATCAAGGCCCTTTTTAGGAGGCTTACTGAAGGTCCTTTCATTATGTAATGATGTTTTTGATCCCCATTGCCACCAACAATCTAAAATGGGTGTGGTGAAGTTAAGCATGCAGTTGTGATTTTATATGACTCATTTAGTATAAGAAACACCTCCGGCCCAACTTAATGACCTATTATAACCCAGCATCAAAGGGTCTGAGCATGCTTAACCTCTGGATAGCAACGGGGATGGGTTTTGTGAAGCCTCAAAGTCGGTTCCGCACATCTGAGTACGGCACACATTTCTTGCTATGTTTTCCCTTCTCAAATGCTTTTGGCAAGCCCGGAGATTGATACCTTGATGGGTTGGTTTGTTCGGCGTGCGTGTCAAAAGCTGGGACTGGGTGCTTTTGCTTCCTCGCAAGGTACTTCACATTGGAAGAACTTGTACGCATGGGTCAGGCAACACAGAGCCGAAGCTCAGCTGAAGCCTTGCTGGTGGGAGACGAGGCGACCGGTCGCCGGGGCGCCGGAGGCAACACGACGTCGGAGCGGACGGAGCGTTTGCACCGCGCCAGGCCAAGGACTACTTGCTCAGTGGTCGGAACAAGACGTTTGTAGGCGGGTTAGAGCAAGAGATTTTTGGTCATTCAATGAGTTGGAGACAAGATGAAGAATCGATTGATGAGAGATCGTATGAGTCAGACAGTTTGACAAAATCTGAATGAAGCTTGTGAAGCCTTGACTCAGCTTAACTTACCACTTTTTACGATGTCCTGTAGTATCCTGTAGTCATTGAAACCGAACTTAGACGTTGAAGCCGCCCCCCGCAGTACTTGTTGCAGTAGAGAACCGCACAGCACCCAGCCGCGGACCAGCTTCCTGCACCGCGCAAAACCCCAGACCGACCCCCAAAACTCAACGGCAGGACTTCTGCACTTCGCTGGTGCCGCACTGGACCGGCGTTTGCCATTGACCTTCTCGCTTGGACTGCCCAAAGACCTGGTGGCCACTTGGGATGGCCGCTGGATCGCGCGTGATGGCCACTTGGGAACATTTAGAGTGGGAAAGTTACTGATTGGCATTGGAGTCAACATCTTCATACTGCAATATGCTTCTGATGATGTACCCAAAGAGGAACCCAACACACATCCAAACACTCTGTTCACATCTGTTCACCTGTGTTTGTCGTGTGGTTGACCATTTGTTCACCCACAGCCTAATTCGCTCAAGGTAGCACCAAGCATGTGGCCAGCCTGCCTTCTCCGGATGGCGAACTTCCCGTCTTGTCTCAGAACGCCGGTTTGGTTCGAAAGCCAGGCCAGGTGGCCCCTGGCCCCTGAGGCTGAGAAAGGTTTTGGACCTGTGCAATGAATGGTTCTGTCCCAAAAACCACAAGTGCCGCACTGCACTACGAAAGGGCCTTCAAGCGTTCCAATGCATATGCATATTGCTTCGTTGGATTGCTTCAAGTTCAAGTTCTTCAACTGCGAGAAAAAACACATCATGTGGGAGAGAATGGTGAAGGCTTCTTTTGGCCAGGTGGCGGAAGCCTGCAACTCTCAGTCTCAGCTGAGTTGGCAGGCCCGTGCCGGCTCGGGCTTTTGAAGTCTGCAGTCTTGCAACCACAGGACTCGAGATTTGCAACGATTGGAGCTTTGGAAATAAAGACCTTGAAAGCCTTAGTTGAATAAAGACCTTGCCACCAATTCCATTGTTTTGACGTGCATCACATGCATCACATGCCTTTCGAACGAACGCTAGGCTCTTTGGGATATCTCCGCTTCTCGCGACCGGTCACTGTGCGCTCCCTCTTCGTTCACTGGGTTGCAGATCGAAATGCTCCAAGGGCCATTGTGGCAGGTCGTTTGGGTCTGCAAAATATGTGGAACAGTTCCTCGGTCGATGTAGAAACACTCAACAATCCAAGACACACCATTGCTCTATATTGCTCTTGGAGATTTGGACGCTCACCTGACGACCGAAAAGGACCAGGACTTCTTCTTCGGGCTTTAGCTGGATAGCTCTTACGCTCTACTTTGCTGATCGATGCATTGGTGTCCCAGACCATTTGGATCCTCAGCAATTGGAGTCCGTAGAGGGATGGGTTGACATTGCTGGAAACCCCTTGGCACAGGTGGATGAGATTTGGCAGCAAGCAGGTCGAATTATCAAACCTGAATTCATTTTTCTGGCAGCAGATGTTGTTCCACAGCCAAATTCCTCGTTTCGGCAGACTTTTGCCACACGCATGGTCCAGGGAAACACTTTGTTAATTGAAACGTTGGATTATGTTTGATTCAGTTTGTATACTTAATACTAATGTAATAGTAAGATGTAATAGAACTTAATATATACTAATAGATATTTGTATACTAATGTAATATAACTATATATTATATATATATCAACTTTCCAGGTCTCCCAGCCCGCGTGCTTTTTTGTTTCGCACCACTTCACCGGACCTTGGACCGTGTGTTGTTTGTGGACCTTGGACCCAGGACCTCCAAGAAGGACCTCCGTTTGTTTTCTTCAGTCTCTTAAGACGATCAGCACGCCTCCATCGGAAAAGGCTCCTGTTTTGCAAGGTGGGTCTAAGTGCCCATGTCAGGCTGCATGTCAGTGCCCATATCAACCTTCTGTTCTTGTGAGTGCATGTTGTTCCAGCCCTACAAGGAATTGGTCTTCATGGCCGCAAAGGGACTTCAGATTAGTGCTGTCCAGATTGCAAGCACTGAAGGAACAGAGGAAGAGGAGCGATTTGACTGCTTTGTTTTGAGACCTCGAGGATGGAATCCATGAGCCCATGGACCCTCTTCAGAGGATTGTCGCCTTCGTTTCAAACAGAAATCATCAGACATTCGACGGTGGAGGTTTTGCAGTTTTTCATGCAATTCAGTAGATGACGCAACCATCCTGGATGATGCATTCACAGAAAGTTCAGGGTTGGCAACTATGAGCGATTGATTCCAGGAGCGAACCGTCCTGATGCTACAGCCCTTTGAGTCTCCAACTCAACAGAATGAGACGGATGAGAGCCAGCCGCAGCCGCAGCCACATTTCATCGCCTCGTTGCAGAGGAGGGGAGACAAACGGAAATTGGAGCCGACATTGTGGACATCTCAGCAGGGTGGCTTTTTTTTCGCTCCTTCCTTCTCCTTTGACGTACAGAAGTAGGATCTTCTATAGGTACAAAACTGCTCGTGGACTTGATGCCGATTTCGGTGCGTTGGTGGATACGATTCACCCGGAAAAAACGCACCAAATAAACCATCAACAATGGTCCAATAGACTTTTTGCTTGTTTATCCAACAATTCATATCCAATTCTCCGACCATTTGCTTGTTTATCCAACAATCGGAAAAAAAGAACACCAAGCACAGACCAAAAGCAGATGCGTGGGGCCCGCGTCTCCGAAGTCAACCCGCTCCGGCCTGGGACGGGTCCGCCAGGCTGAGAGCGGATGCTGCACCCTTCGTCGCCACGTTGCAAGAGGCGCGGGGGTAGAAACCCACGGGCTGAAGAGTGGGACGTTTTGGGCAGAAGCTGGCTGAAGCTGGCTGAAGCAGATAACATGGGCTTGCAAGTGGAATGACTTCAAGCAGCACGCGATGGTTGGCAAAGCCGGTGAAGCAAGTTATCAGGTCAAGAACTAACTGCGGCAGCATGAAGAAGCACCACCTCTAGCGCAACCGCCCCCAGATCTGTATATTATCAGAGTAAGGTCAGGTTCCAATCTTCATTCGCTCACTTCAGGTGGTCGACCACAATCTGCGGCTGCGTATGCTTGCACCTTCGTGGCCAAGCTTAATTATAGCGAGAGGAGATGTTGGACCACCAACATGACAAATATATTGCAAGCAATATGAAGATGCGCCTTTTCCGCCTTTCTTTCTACTTTTACAGTGTTTTATCGGTCGTGTTTTACCCCAAGAGATTGTCACTGGTGCCTGTCAGTTCCATGCATTTGACCAACATGTCCTGCAGGTTTCGCTCAACTGAGCACACTCTAAGAGCCTTTTGACATCCTGCACATGACAGCTTCGACTGCCCAGGAGAGCTCTTGGAGGGGTGCGGGGCGACCAGATACCTGGCTTGTTGCTCAGCGGCAGCCTGAGCATGCTTGGAGGAGCCCAAAATTGATCCAGAGCAGCTGAATTCGGCAGAATGTCTTGGCTTCAGCCTTTACTTTCAATAGACTATATAGCACTGGTCTTGCCTTTGTCGAGACCTTGTAGACTGAGGCTTTCGATACCCTCCTCTGACAATGGAGCTCGGCTGACAGAGGAAGCACTGAGCTTCAAATTGGCCGCGTCGCAAAACGAAGTCCTGTCGCTTGGCAGCAAGTGCCGCGCGACAACAAGAAGTGGGTAGGTTCGACAACTGGCAGCTAGGTGGAGTCTTACTTTCCTGCCCAAACACGCGATTCATTGAAATTTGTCAAATGTGGCTTTAGGGTCATCCATGACAAGTTTTTGTCCCACTAGTTTTATACTAGGTATGTAATGTGTACATATATATACAGTATATATATATGCATGCAATTTTGATAAAATGACCCATGGCAAGATTCGTTTTTATGTAGCAACTGAGATCAAACGGGGGTTGGACAGGAAACTCATGTGCACCGCGACCGTTGTTCTCGGAGCTGGTGACCGGAAACAGGCCACGCAAAATGAACAGGGCAAGAGATGCCAATATCCATGGAATTCAAGGCAGAAGTGTCAGATTCTCCAAGAGAGAAGTGTATACGTCCTATCTATTTGTCAATGTTCAGACATGTTCCGGAAATTCAGATGTCTTCTGTAGCTGTTTTGCTGTCTACCCCGTGGATGCTCAGCAGATTTTCTAAGGTGTCGCCGCTCCGTCGCTAACCCTAATGTCAGAACCAGACGTACATTTCAGAACAATTTGAGCACCTCGAAGCAGGTTGAGCAATAGAAGAAGGCTGAGCACAAAATACTCAAACACCGTGGAAGGCGGTGAACTGAACACGACTGAAGAGAGTGACGACCGAAGAAAAGTGAGGAATGTGACGTGAGCAAAAACAGCGCTGTTACTGTATACGACTGAAGACGTTGAGCAAAGGCTACAGAGCACAACCGAAGACGGTGAGCCTTGCAGGCCTGTGTGATGGTGAAAGTTCTCCGGGGGCCGGTGATAGCTATGGGCCGTTGATGGAGTGTGTGGCAAATGGTGCTGGGATGGACATGATACTGGTGATGACATTGTTGATTTTCACACGCATGACAAATGTTCGCCGTGACAGTTGCAAACATCACCATCGTCATCACCGACGTCATGTCCATCATCGCATCGCCAACATCATCCAAGTCATTTCTACCAACATGTGTTCCATCATCACACTGCCAACGTCATCACCATCACCATCACCATCATCATCATCACGCTTAGGTGCAACCGTGTGCGTACCGGTGGATTGTGACTGTGCACGGGCGCCCAACGAAAACATCTCGCATGGCGAACGCACAGGTGCTTTAACTGCAGAGGAGAAAGGGTTTGCAAGGCCAGGATGGTCTTTAGCACGCAACATCTTCTCCTAACCTTGGACGGCGTTTAGGTGACAAGAGGCCTGCGTCAAACACCTGACATCGCGTGGCTGGGCTGGAAGTGTGTATCTTGCTGTGTGTTGCGGCTTCATTGCAGCAGTTTGATTGAGATGGGCTGCGTGTAGCAGCTCTCAGTCTACGTCTTGTTGGGTCGTCCTCCAGACCTAGATGCCCTCTTGCTACGACGATTTTTGACTGAGATGCCCTGGAAGGGTTCCAGTTGCTACGCGAAACTATCTTGTTCCCCCTCCTCCAGCCCACCCACTGTACGACTTTGGGGCTTGCCAAATTACGTATGACCACAGCCTTGAGCTTGCCAGCGCTCAACATCGTCCTGGCAACCCTTTCAGCGGTTTAGAGCGCAAGTGATCCTGTGTCGCGCAAATATCATCCAAGCCTGTGGTGCGTAAGGCATCCCCGGGACATCAATTGGATACCGAAGGTTTTTGGGAAACTCTGTTTTCTTTGTCAGTTGTAGAAGTTGTAGCTGGTTAGGGGCGATGTGACTTGGATTGGTCCAAGGTTTTCTCGCGGTTTCCTCACAGACATTGCCGCGAACGATGCCAGAAATATGATTGCTGGCTTCTCCAAAGTGCCTGAAGGAGCGACGGGGCGTGCGGGAAAACCAGCGTGTGTTTTCAATGCGACAGACGGAAGTGGCATTTTCAAGATCCTTTGAGTGCCCATCAGGCTTTTAGAGAAAGGAGGATCGGCAAGTAAGTATATTGCGAACAATGCACGTCCAAGATTACGATATTGTCGAGAAACGACCGCGAAAAGCAGTTGTGACGGAGCCTCCCAAGTCTGTCGGGGTCCGCCCACCCTTTTTGCTACAGCTGTTTGAGCAATAGCCATGTGGAGATTGCTGTCTTTTGGTGTGCCATGGTCTCCAGGTGTTTTGCCCGAAGATCTGCGTCGGCAGCTGACCACAGAATCGCCCGAGCTGGCAGAGACAGTGCTGCAGCACGTGCGCAGGGGTGGATGGAAACGCAGCACCCCCTCGACCTTGCCGCAGGAGGGTGACCTAGCTGAAAATCTAAGAGGATCTAAAAGGGGTGTGTGATTTGGAATAAAGAGACCTTGTGACCAACTGGTTTCTAGAGGCGATGTCTTCTTCCAGCGTTTTCTGAGTTTGATTCAAGTAATCAAAGGTAGCTGGTGAGTTCTCAGGTTTTGTCGCAAGGAACAGGATGTCGGCGGTTTTAGGCACGAGAGGTAAAGACGTTGAATTCCAGACAGCTAGACATACCTGTGCGTATGCAACGCCGACGGCAATGACGTTGACCGGCAAAACGTCTCTTGGTCTCTTGGCCCCGAAGCAAAGGTTCAGAGGATGCGGTTGCTTGGCCTGCTGTTGGGGACCGGCATTTTTGCAGACTGAACATTTGAGTAGTTGCCTAATTCTATCATGCATGTTTGGTTTCAAAGGGCCTTTCAGGACTACAGATTCTTAGGCAGATATTTGTTCGGTTCTTGCAAGATGACAATGACAGACAGGTACTGTAGAGACTGCATGTATGAATCGGGGTATCTGAGCCATTGCCTTCAGGTGAAGAAGTACATGACTGCCAAGCGCCAGCAGATGCAGTTAGATTTGTTGGCAGCGGCCCTGATTTACATTTCGCACAATTCTGGGCTTGGATTTTGAGACGTTCCATGAATTCATGGAGCGCGGTTTGTGCTGGATATCGGCGCATCTCATGGCCAGTGTTTGAACTCCCGGCCTTGCGGGTCGACTTAGGGTCGACAGACACTATCCAAGAGTAGCACCGGTGCTGTGGCCTCCGCCACACTGCAACTTGTACAGCCGTTGCACCAGCGTTGATTTTTTTTGGGTTGCATGGAATTTCAGCCAGTGGTTTAGCGCCTGAGTACAGTGTTTCAGGTGGGTTTTTGACCACGGATTGTTTTCAGTATGTCGCAATGATTTGTACTGTGATTGTAGTAGCTGATGGATTGTTTGGGGTTGTACCTGCAATGATGTGTTTTTACATATTTTTATATACATCAGAAACAGAAACAGCAATGCAATCACCAGTATGGAAGGAGTACCAGAACGGAAGGATAAGCAGTTACACTCAAAAGCAATGCGGTTTTCTCCTTCAGGTGCCTGGGTGCCTCTAAACAAGCGAAAGCCCAAAAACCAAAGACCACCGCAACGTGCCTCTCGTTGCGGGCGGAGCTGCATGTGCCAGAAAAGTCCGAAAGCGGTTGTATTCAGTTGAACAGAGTTCACCAGGTGCTCTGTAGGCTCTTTGTTGTTGTAGTGCCTTATCCCGAATGAATACCCTCTTCTGGAACCTGACTTGACTTGATATGTTTGAAGTCCGCATCCTTGAGGAGTGATACGGGTGCTTGTTGCCACTTGTTGCCTCAGAAAATCAGAGAGCAGGCAACCTGCGACTGTGTTGACAGATACTCAAGCTGTAGTCATGGAGTCATGGAGGGGAGCCATCCTTCAACGTATAATAGAACTATTACATCGATATAAAATATGTCGATTGAGAGATTTGGTTGTGAGGCAAATGTGGGTTTTGCTGGCTGCGTGGCTGCAGCCGTCAGAAATCAGGTGCACATGTTCGTCGAAAGCAGTCTCTGCAAGCAATAACGTTTCTTCTTGACTTGGATGATTCTCTTGCAATGGCAAGTTAATATTAACGACATGAAACACCTCCACTTACTCAAAACTGGGGTGATTGGAGCTGTAGTGTCTTGTGCTTCCGCTTGTGGAGGTCAGTCAGCTCTTTTTTGCCACCGAGGAGTACCAGGCAAAAACTCAGTCAACTCTTCTTCTCCAAGGAAGAACATATGGATCAACGCACCAGTGCGGGATGAACGCACTCCAGTCACCCGGAAATTGGATGAATGAACCCTAAACTCTTGCACCTAATATATGCTGTGCGGAGGGAAAGATATCCCTGAATGTACGGTTCGCGCCTGGGGTGCTTCCTTTTGATGGAAGGTAAGATGATTTCTCGCATTGGCCATGAGACGCACCATCCGTAGGATGTGGTGATGTCGCCTTTGGTGCTGCCCTTTGAACTGGTGCCTCACTTACTGTGCTCAGCTTCGACATGCTTAGACCTTTGATCAGTCATGTCTACACGCGGAAATTCATCGGTGCGCCGTGGACCCGAACGACGGTGAACGACCCGTGTTGGTTTCGACTGCTTGGCCAAGTCAAGCGGCCGATGTGAGTCTAAGGTGGTGGCTGGACTTCTTTGGTCATTGGCAGTGGTTTTGCTGTTGGGTGGGGCTTCAGCAGCCACTTCGTTCGCAACCAGCCGAAGTCCGATTGGTCGTTGAAGCATGAAGCGGTACACGGTGATCCAAACCGGATCCACCGAGCCAAGGTCGCAGTGTGGGACTGCGCGCAGTTGATCAAGACCAAACGAATTCAGCGACTCGGCAGGTGGATCGCAGGGAGGCGAGAAAGCCCACACCGCCAGGGAGGCACTCTGTAGATGACCTAATACCGGTGGACGTGTACCCAGGTTTGTCAGGTTTGGGTTACAAATAGTGAGGGCTTTCTGCCCAAATTTGGTCTGGAGAAGTACAAGGGCCGTGCTGGTATCGGCAGGAGATGTGGTTCTTTCGAATTCCGGAGAGACCGGAGGTCTCCGACGTGTTCCGAACCAAGAAGCACAGTTGAATCACTAACTGCCCAGAGCCCACGTAGACCGAGTTTGCACATGTTTGAACCATCGAAATGCAAGGTGGCACCGGCAGAAGGGGTTAGAAGACGCCGTTGCGGCATGTGAGCCAAGCAAGGCCAGCAGAGTTGCATCGACTGAAGTTGTACTGTGAACAGAAGGCTCTTTTGGGTATTATCAAGTAAATTGGATAGAGATGGATAGAGTCCTTGTTTTGACACTTTCGCCCCATCTGTGTAAGGACACCTCGTAACCATCACATGACACATCGGACAACGCGGCGGAGATTCGGATCGTCGCGTCGCGTGGTCGGTGAGATGGGGACGTCCTGTGATGCGCTCTGGCCACACATGTCACACCTGAAGGACTCCGATGCTTTGGTGAAGGACCTGTCGCAAGTTGAAGGCGCGTTGGCCGGCACCAAACGGGAGTGCACCCTGGTGAACATGAGAAGAGTAGTGACTGAGCTTGTACTGCCTTGCGTTTCAAAGAGATTTCATCATCATTTTGCTTATATATATAGTTGTATTTGATTGTGCAACAGGAAGATTCAGTGGTTGATGGTTCAGGCATATGGCTAAAAGCTGATGGGTGCACTTGAGTATTTGGGCCGTTTCACCTTGACACTGGAGCCCCCCACGATAAGACGAATATCTTCGGGGTTCTGTGGAGATGCCCCTTGGTGCAACCAATGAAATCCATGTCAAGAACTGGTGGCGTGCAAAGCAGAAGCCCCAAACTTAATTGTTCCATGCAAATGTCTTTGGCAGTTTCATCAGTTTCATCGAGATTATCTTACAATTATATACGTATCGTTTCAACATAAGGGGATTCTCGCGCTTCCCACCCGATCAAATTGGCAGTTTGATTGCAGGGCCCGCTGACTGTTCCGTAGAAGCGGAGAAGCCAGTGACAGTTGAGGACAGGGGTTGAGATTGGCGGTTGGGGCTGTACTAGTAGGTTGAGAAAGGCTGGGGACGGGGTGGCGGTGGGCAGTTGTACGTGGCAAATGGATTTTATCCACGGACATCCAGCATCTTTGAAGCCTGGTGGGGTTGCGAAAAGGTGGAGGAATGGGTGACTGCATGTTTTTAAATGGATCTTTACATGTATTTTTGTAGACAATAAAAATCTATACGTTGCGAGAAAGGCACATCACATTCATGCAAAGTTCGCAGCTGCCAGGACTTGCAGCTGCGCATGGAGGAGCTCCAAGCGAAGCATCAGGAAGAGTTGCGAGAGAAGGACCTGAAGTTGGAGGCGCCAAGACTGAGCTGAGCTGATGTCCCGCATGGAAGACTGATGGCCATCAATGACCAACATAAATCGTAGTACTTAGAACATCCCGTGAGTAGCTGGAAGATACGTGCGGTTAGACCTTCCAGAACCTGAGATTAGACCTTCCATGGCAACGGGATGCCGTGCTGTCATCATACAGAGCTGCTTTGTGCTGTTATGTATTGGTGCTTCCAAAAGACAAGCTTCAGTCAATGGCAGAGGCTGCGTCTCCCATCGCACAAGGGATTGCTCAAAAAACCGCATGAGGCCATCCCTTTGGCCATTCTTACCACTGTTTTGCTTGGGAGCATCGAGTATTCTTGATATGATCGGTTTCGGATGTTTCAGTCCCTCAAGGAGATGCAGAAAGAGTTAGAGGAAAAGAAGGCTGAGGGCCTTGAACTTTGGGAAGATGCAAAGAAGTTTGGATCCCAGATGTGACACGTTTGGATCCTGATGTATGCTACGCAACATGCAGGCGTTCCTTTCTGTGGTCCATCCAAGTGTTGTCCTTGAGAAGCAGGGAGGGAGTTGGGTGTGAAGATTGACGCAGCTTTCTCGAAGCATTGAGACTTTGACAGCCTTCAACTTCTGGAAATCCCGAATAATAAGTGAGTAGCCTTCGACTTGGATTGATTCATATTCAGGCGGTCGCCGGTCTGCGTGCGACACGTGGAGTTGATTCTGATTGAGGTGTTCATTTGCCGTCCTGAAACCGAAGGGTCGTGCCCTTTCGCTGAGGCAGAGGAGGGAAGCGAACCGCAGCTCGGCCAAACAGTTGACCCCGGGGACGAACAGGGACGAACTATGAAGCACGCACATCATTCAACCTCACCAGCCCAGCCAGGAAGCAAAAACCGTTTAGCAAAACTGAAAGATCAACGATGTGGCTCGCATGTGTTCACGGTTGTGGCGGTGAGGCTTACAATCCTTTGCCATTTCAGCGACAAACTCGCTGAGAAAGATGCAGCGGGAGGTGAGCTGAAACTGAATTTCCGAATGCATCACTGACTTCGCAAAAGGCTTTGTTGTGTTTTTTAGCTACTGATGTATGCATTTAACATGCTCATGAACGCTCAGGGTCATCACGATCATGAATCTCGCCAGAAAGGATGGAACCTGGAACGTGTGGTGAGCACTAGTGTGGTATGACGTGGTATGACATCTTTTTACTGACACAGAAACAGGTGTCCAATGCCTTTTCACATATTTTCACAGTATGTATTAAGATAGCATAAAATAGCACATGTACGAAGTTATATAGTAACATAGTAACCATGATTGTGCAGCAGCTAGGAGCAGTTTCCACATGCAATATAGCCCTCCAAGCCCATGTACAGTACTTTTCTAAGAGTTACACTCCAACTGCTTCAGCAGGATTGGCCAAATCAGTGGTCAAAGCAAGTGGTCACTTTGACTTAGCCATTGAACGGACAAGTTTAACTGACATGTTCCATCCCTGAACATAACTTTGAAGCGCAGATTCACGAGAGTCGTATGTTCGGTTTTGTGCGTATTTTTTGCGAGGTCAACCGGCTCCAGAAAGTCATTGCCCAGCAGAAAACGAAGTATACAGAGCTCCAGGAAAGCCAGCGAGCTCGACGGGAGGCTGCACAGCACCGGAGAGTGTGTTTAACTTTGCACGGAGAGCCTTAACTTAGCACGTCGTCAAGTGGGTGTTCTTCACTTGTACTTTGCTGATTTTGCAGTTGGCTGT